CAACTATCACAATATCCTTGTCCATCTCCATTTCAGGTTGAAGAAATGCTTAACCAAGAAAAAAGAAAAACCAAAGAGCTTAGCGATTGTGAATGATGTAGCGTGGCAAGGGTGAGGCAGGATGTAGGACGTACGAATCACGCTGCAGACCGCCGTGTTTATATATGTTTCAAAAAGCATTGACTGGAAGGTGGAAACTGGAGCGGCCACATGCAACAAAATGAAGTTGTATGGTGCAGCTCAGCCGCCATCCTTGGAGAGAACGCAAGGAAGCACCTGAGATTCTTCGGAAGTGCTCTTTCGTTGTAACCTTCCTGATGATTCTTAAAGTGAACGCTGGCACTGGAGCAAGCATTCTTTACTGACAATAATTGCTAGTATATAATTAAATATTTCCGTTCCTCACGATGATGATAAATTGGAGTCATGTCAAAGTGCACCTCCGTTGGCATCCGTCCGTTGGATAGGCATAGGGCCACCATTTGACCATATCCTAGACCTTTTCCCAGTCAACGAGGCCTGATCAAGAAATATTATTATTTTTGGTTAAAAAAAAGTTTGGGTGTGCCCGGCACTTGTGATTGGAACTATAGGTCTCGTACACCAACGTAACTCTCACATTGATAACGGGATTCGAACACACGATTTTTTATAAAAAAGTGATATATTTTTAGCAAGTAAACAGACTTGTGTCGGCTGATCAAAAATTATTAAAGAACCCGAAGAGAATCATAAGAGTGGGGAGATTAAAATTTCATACACTCGCACATATACGAGGGGAGGCAATTTACATGCATATAAGATGTGTATGTGTGGGATAAGAGGAATAATACCATAAAAATAATATTTTCAAAATTTCACTTATTAGAATAATACAATCTGGTAAATGAATCTTGATAACCGTGATAAATTACCTAATAAAATAGCAATTTCTATCTATATAATAAAACTAACTTGACCCCATGCTAAATAAATAATAATATGAAATTTTCTATTTTTGAAATTTGATTTAATATGCCAACAATTGTTATACAAGCACAGACTCATTTCCCCGGCAAGGGCAGGCACTAACTACGGGCCTGTTTGGAACCTGAGTTTTTTGGGAGTTTGTCTAAAACTTTACTGTAGTGCACTGTAGAAGTTTTTAAAAAAATTTTGTAGAAATTTTTATAAGGTGAAAAAAATTTTTCGTAGAAGTTTTTGTAAGGTGAAATTTTTTTTCTTTTTCTTTTTCTTTTTTTTTCTTTCTTTTCTCTTTCTCTTTCTTTTTCTTTCTTTCCTTTTCTTTCCTCTCTTCTTCTTCTTCTTCTTGCTTCCCCGTTCCCCTTCCCTGTTACCTTGCACCAGCAACTCCCTTTCCCCCCTCCCCGCCACCGCCCTCCCCTCCCTTGCCACCGCACTGCCCTCTCTTTCCCCCTCCCCCGCCTACTGCCCTCCCCGGCCACCCCTCTGCCCTCCCTTTCCCCCTCCCCCGGCCACTACTCTCCCCTCCCCCGCCACCGCACTGCCCTCTCTTTCCCCTTCCCCTGCCCATTGCCCTCCCCCGCCACCCCTCTGCCCTTCCTTTCCCCCCTTCCCCGGCCACTGCCCTCCCCGGCCACCCCTCTGCCTTCCCTTTCCCCTTCCCCCGCCCACTGCCCTCCCTCGCCACCCCTTTGCGCCGCTTTTCCCCCTTCTCCCACCCGTCACCCTCTGCCCTCCCTTTCCCCTTTTGCCCTGCCCTTCCCTTGCAGCCCAGCCGCATGATGGCAGGCCCAGGCTCGCGACCAGAGGCAGCCCAGGCTCAGCTTTTCCTCTTCTCCACAGTGCACCAGAAGCAGCCCAGGCTCACGACCCAGCAGCAACGCGCGCGCAGGATGGGGGACGAAACGGCGGTGGTGTGTTTTGGGAACCGGCGGTGGTGTTGGGTTGGGATGGGGGAGGAAGAAGGAAAAAAGGGAAGGGAATTTTTTTTGGGTGTGTTTTGGATATTTTGAGGTGTGTAGGTAAAAAATTTTGAAAAGTTTTTTGGAATTCCTGTAGCAAAAGTTGTTAAAAAACTAGTAGGTGAAAAACTTGTCCAAAAAACTGGGTTCCAAACAGGCCCTACGTCTTCAGTCAAATTTGTTTGGCGCCCTATATCTATATGATAAAACTAACTTGACCCCACTGCTAAATATATAAATAATAGGGTTAATTACATTTACCTCCCCTGAGGTTTGACCATATTATCAATCAATCCCTATAATTTGTCCAAATAACGGTCTCACCCTTTGAATGATCAAATATTTAACAAAAACCCCTTAATGCCGAAAATGCCCTTATTGAGGTCATGTTGCATTAAAAAAAGAACATATTTTTATTTATTAACCCTCAAGCAATCCAAAACTAATTTCTTCTTTTTTATTTTTCTTTCAATTTATCTCATTTTAATATTCATTTTTAAGATTTAAAATAATCATTGATTCAAAACTATTTCTAGAACCAAAGATATGGTTTTTATAAAATAATAAGCAAAAATTTTTTTCTATTTTTTTGGATTGCTTGAGGGTTAATAAATAAAAATATGTTCTTTTTTTAATGCAACATGACCTCAATAAGGGCATTTTCGGCATTAAGGGGTTTTTGTTAAATGTTTGATCATTCAAAGGGTGAGACCGTTATTTGGACAAATTACAGGGATTAATTGGTAATATGATCAAACCTCAAGGGAGGTAAATATAATTAACCCTAAATAATAATATGAATAAAATTTATGTTTTTGGAATCTTGATTTAATGTACCAACAATTGTTGTGGAAGCACATACTCATTTCCCCAGCACGGCGCTTCATTCAAATTTGCATGCGGCCAAGATGTTCTTGAAAATGCAGCATTATCCTGAAAAGTAATCCGTATTTCTCAGCATATCGAGTTTTGGTCCTCGTTACCCTCTTTCTTGGACGAGCCAGATTTGCACTGATTACTAGAACCGAAAAGGTCATATTATTTAGGGCCGTCAATGGGACGGATTTGGATTTGGACTCGGCTCGGATCGATAATTTTTTTTCGAGTAGAATCAAGAAATAATTATGTTACCCTGGCCTATTTACTCTCACAAAAAAGCAGTTGCATATGAAATATACAATTTCAACTTTGATTCGACCGAACTCGAATAATACATTAATAATTATAAAATATAAATATTTTAAATACAATAATAATTCTTTTATCAAATTAACAAATTCTAATCTTGTTGGGCCTTATTTTTAAACACAACAATATTTTTAAATACAATAATATAAATATTTTTAAATACATTATTTTTGTTGGGCTTTATTTATTCGAGTAGTTCTGGACTCGATCGAAACCTGCCGGACCCTTCCAGATCCTAAGCACAAGACTCGTCGGATATACAGGTCAGATCTGAAATTGGTACATTATAATGAGTTTAGGAGCGAAATTTTCAATTTTGACTAGAATCCGACCCATTGACAGCCATAATATTATTCTACCAAACAAAGTCTTAAGATAAGAAAAACACAAAAAGATAAAAATAAAAAACACTTTCATCGTAATAACAATCTTAATAACAATCAAAGAATGTGCTGCTCACTGAGAAAGTTACAAAAAAAAAAAAAAAGAACATGATGAGGAGCTTTTATTTTTGTATTTAATAGAAGCAAGACAAGGAGCATTTTTACCCGCCATTTAGTTTTAAACATTAATCAAATTTTGTCAACATTAGCGTTCTTAAAATCTATTTTAGTATTATGCCAAATTATGAATATAAATGAATGCTTAATAAATAATAAATTAATATTACTATTTTTAGAATTTTTATAAAAAAAATGTATTGTAACGATTTTATGTGATTAATAAAAATTGAGAAATGTGTTCATGAAAAACGTAAATTTTTTTTTGTAGAAAATCAAAATCCAAACAAGGCCCCAATGATATTAAAGGCCCAAATTAAGTCATTGCTAAGCTTGAATGATTTAAAGGCCCAAATCCCAATACGATCGGTGATTTATTCTTTACCCCTCCGAGGTTTAATTTAATTGTTTTCTGCCTCTCTAATTATAATCACTTAGAATCTTTTATCTGTACCATTGTTTCTACAAAACTTCAGAAAATGATTAGTTTGATTTAGTACAAAATAGTTATGCTTTCGAAAAAAATCCTATGCTACACTTTAAACTGTGAGTTTTTCATTTATTGATAAACTATTTTATCATATAGTGCATTAATTCATGTACTTAGGGATGAAAAAAAAGTACTTAAACAAAAAAAAAAGAAAAAGAAAGGCAAGGAGCATTTTCATTTCAAAGCTGAGAACAAACTTCAAAGAATGTAGATTTTAGTCTCTTTTCAGTTTCCACCAGAAATAAGAAAACTCAAGCAGTGAAAGAGGGAAGAAACAATCCCTCCCACAACAAAAACTCCAAGAAAACAGACAAGAAAGAAGTATAAAGGAATGGTGGTTTTAACCATAGCAACTATTATTGCAGAATAGAAGAAAGACAGCTGCAGACCATGAACTGACCTACTAAACGAGCTTACTCTAAAAGAAGTCTAGATCAGGCTGAACATTTGAAAAAGATCTATTCACTTTAGCTTACAAGAAAGACACAGAATAAAAGCACCATCAACCCAAAAAAGCCAGCCTCTTTGAAGTTCAAAAGGAGTGAAATCCAAAAAAGGTTTCCAAATTCACACAAGGAAACAGGACCAGTTCTCATTCAAACATGAAGCTTTGAGCAAATCCTCAAATTTCATGGGCAGTCAACCTCTATACTATGCACATACATCAGCTGAAGTTATGTCGTAATTATGCTATTTCTTCTAGAATTTTATATTCTGCTCTTCATATATCACTACATCGCTGATGACATTACCTAGAGGCTAGAGTTACATTAAATGCAAACAGATATTTGAATATTTACATAAGTGGCAAAAGTCTGTAAGTTAAAAGATATCTTACAACATAGCACATGTCGCCGACAGCTATAACCTTAGAAGTCATATTAAGAGCATGCCTTGTATAGCAACTTTGAGAGGGAGCCTCCTTGCTTTTGAGCATGTAGATTGTAACATGAGGACTCACCTGTTCAGTGGCTTATATAGAACAACAGTTACATATTTGGATTGAAACCTGTGGGTCAAACCAAGAGCAAGAACTGATTGGGATGCCCATCCTTTTTCAATAAAGAGGTGGTCAAGCACCACATGCTGGGGCTTTGTTGAAGAAGAAGCTGCTTCATCTATTTCCTGTATCAAGAACAGTCAGCTGGAGTTGAGGTGGAACTTCCACTGGCTCCTTTGCAAAATCTTCATCACTAAGAAAACTATGACTATAGCTCGTGTCAGGCGATGGTGGCGCTTCAAACTCCCTCACACCTTCGAAGTTCTCCGGGACATCCTCCTAAAGAAATAGGAAAAACTCAATATTAGGCCATCTCCAGGAAAACAAGAAGAATGCCAGTATTTGTCATAATTATAGGACAAGTGATTCAGCAGCGAACTATCATTTTGTTGGGAATGGTGAAGCATAAAGTTTCCCCCTCTACACCCACTTATCGACATATGTGATACTCAAATGACACTGTATACTTACCATACAAGAGAAAATACGGGTAGATACATAAATGTATACAACACCAAGACAGATATATAGGGGCAGCAAAACATGATCCCATTATTCATGAACAATTAATGAAGCATCAGATTCAATGGTTTAATTGCACTGCAATAGAAATTTTCCTAATCAGTTGTTATCTGTGAGTCTGTGACACATTGTAATATTTAATACTTGCAGTCAGAGATAATAAAATTTTAATTGGTAACTAAATATGACTTTTAAACGGATGAAAAGAGAAAAATAAGGGATATACAACATACACACCTCCAACTTTACCATTGACGGATATACAACAGCAGCATATCAAGAAGCGAATGCATGTTGAAATCTAGTAATTCATACATTTTCTTATATTTTCTTTTCGTCTGTCATCTCACATTGTAGCTTCCAGATGGATACACCACTTGGTGATTGTATCATCATGGTTAGCTTAAGTGAAGGCCCAGTTATCAACTGGAAACTTAGATTAATTTTGCTCTTTCTATATTTTTATTGGCTTCATCTAGTGTTTTCTCATTCCCATCTTTATAAGATGGTTAGTCATTTCAGTAAAAGTTAGGAGTACAATTTATATTGCATTGCCTACTAAAAATTTCAAGACATGAGTCTCTCAAACACAAACTTTACGCCTAGGTTACATAGACTGCTCTAATACTCTAATATGGAACTCTAACTTTGTCACTGTAAATTAATATCCAATAACTACATTTGAAAGCCTCTCGCTCCAAGAGGGTTTCAATTCAAACTAAGAATTCAGGAGCCTCTCTGCTTATGAATTCTTTTAACTTCCCACTCTTAGTATTTGAATGCTCTGACAACTATCTATTTCCAAAAATCTTGGTTAATATTATAATCCGTGCCATAAGTTAAGTTCCTACAATAAATGGAGCTATTCTTATACACCCTTGATCTATTTGTCTTTCTAACAAACAAATGAAGTCCTTTTATTCCCTGCTTTCCTTTGTAACCATACATAGATGGATTTATGAGCACTAGCCTAGATTTTTCTCAATCACCGGGAGTTTTCTTCAATTGCGACTCTATACAAAAAAGTCAATGAGATTAGGTTTTGATTATCTGCTCCATATATAGCTTTATACCGTGATATTTATTATTATCGCAGATTTGACATGTATTTTGAGAAGCACAAGTTATTTTATGTAACATGGCTTTCAATGCTTGCATTATGCATCTTGGATTGGTCTTACATCAAGCAACTGTGTCTGAAGCTAATGCAAGTTTTAAAATATAGCTAACCCCAGCATAAGCCAAGTGCAATACCAGATTGTCTACTTCATTTCCATAGAAGGGTTTGCTACCCCTTCTACTAGTCTCTTATTTCTTTTGTTACATAAATTTCCACCTAAGTATATGACTTGCCTCATCAGGCGTCCAACCTTTTCATTTCCATTGTCCCCTTCTTAACAGGCTAAGGCGTCAAAATATAGCAACTTATTACATGCACATACAAACACACACACATTTGCCAAATGGATTTATCCATTGTGTAATCTGTTAAATAAATTCAACTTAAAAGGTTATTTTCCTCTCTGTTCATTTTTAATCCCATGTGCATGTCACCATTTCTGACGTCTCCTAGTCTCTCTCAGAACATCATCACTAATGAAACACCTCTCAACCAAACTGTTCTTTGAGATTGCAAAATTTTCTAAAATCCCAGAGGGAAAAAAGGCACCCTATGGCAACCTCTTCTAATAACAACTTGGTAGTTAGCGCATCATCTTTTAAAATTTTCATTTTTCCTGTAAGTCCAGCAAACAACAATATTCAAGAAATTCCTGTAAGTCCTGTAAGTCAGCATTTTTATATTCCATATAAACAAAATATCCTTGATAAATTTTCTAACAAGAAATTCAACATGGTCAACCACGTTAAATGTAAGAGTTCATATAAGCATAGAGATTTATCATATTCAAGGTTCTGTAAGTCTATATTGTAGAAAGGAAAACCTTTTGCTCCATCCATTATCCATTTAATTCAACAAAAAGTATGCAGATATGCATAGAACAACTGTGGGTCTTGCACTTTCAAATAGTATCAAGTGCTAGCCAACTGTTGATGCATGTAGGCATATAAAATGCCATGGCACTGAGGAAGTCATCTATCTAGTTCAAGAAAATGATTTTAACATTTCAGATCTTGGTTTTCTTGTAGAAAACATATAGAAAAGACTCGAATTTGCACCAAAAAACATGTTGAGAATGAAATGGTAAGAATATCTAAGTAGCATTTAAAAAAAAAGTAACATCTAGGAATAATGAAAAGGAAAATAAAAGAGACCTAAGAAAGGTTGGAAATGGAACTGATATGGTGAAAACCAATCCTAAAGGCTCACCATGTAGCTCTATGGCATGGAGACATAGAGTCGAATTTGTTTCTTGGCTTTTTTCCCTCAAAATAACAATTCACTCAGAAGGTGCTGCACAGTCAACATTAGTCATATTGTGCCTGCTTGCATATTAATCATTATAATTACACAAAAGTAGTAATCATTACAGAGGTAGTCTAACTGATATTGCTAATCCAATGGGGTTATTGGCACTTCAAATAATAGTCAGAAGCAAATAACTAGAACCGCCAGTAGTTATATCACAAGCATACTCACAAGGACAACAGAACAGAGCATAATAAGATGAGAAAGGAGTAGGGAAAAAAAAATAGAACATGAGAACACCTAAGCAACTTTCAACTTTGAAGTTTCTAGTTGGTCTGCAGGGTCATAATATGGTAAAGAGACATGCCAACTGTAACATAATTCACTCACATGAACATCAAGAAGATTGCAAACATGCCCCATGCCATCAGCTTCATATGGAAGATTTGGGATATATTTCACACTGCCATCAACAATAAACTTGTAATGGTATATTCCTGATGGCAGTACCAAGATAATGGTGTGATCTTTACCAGATCTGTCAAGTGTCTTCCTGCAAGTTAATTGCCCAATTTTACTATATAGAATCAGAAATTAAGAACATAAGAGGAAACATATCAGAATGAAGCAAATTGTGCATTACAAAAGAATGCGAATATAAAGTTATTAATAACAATTACACAAGCTCACCTTGACCTCCAGTTGTCCCAAGATCCTTCCACAGCCACATGATTACCACCATAGCTCCATGTTATGAGAGTAGGAATACCTCGCACGAAGGGTTCATTGATAGTTCCAAGATTTTCAATCCTTTGGAATTGATTATAGAAGGAAAGGCCATTACCTTGTAAAGACACCACTGGAACCTGCGGATATAAGGAAAGAGTGAGAGATCAGGTAGTAATGAATTCAGACAAAATTTAGGAAACAGGAATTGATTAATATACATTTCAAGTATCTCTTATTCGTGATCTTGAAATTAAAGGTATTTCAACAGACTAAACATTCTATAGATTTTTATGTGGAGGCTCTCAGGCGTATATATACTTCATTTTTTAGCATAAGACTTATGGAAGCTATGAAAGTACAATGCTTATGGTTAACATATTGCTACATTAATGCTACCTAAAAGAGCATCAGCTAGGATAATAATGCCCATATAGTGCTATCAATATCAAAAGCACAAGTAGAAGCTGTATCACAAACTTTTGGTCCACATTCAAAACAAAACACTTTTAAGAGCTGGATCTAGAGCATTCATGCTTGTCTAGGTTTGCAAATCAGCCACAGACTTGAGCTTGGCTTGTTATAGGCTCAATCAAGATTGCCGCACAGTAAATAACAAAGCAAACTCCAATACATTTCAAAGATTCTTCCAACCTTACAGACTTAACAAGCAAACATCATCACGTACAACCCAAAAATTGAAACAGATTTAGCTATATAGAAGCTTGTTCATGATCCTCTCAATGAACAAGGTGTGCTCAAACTCACACATCAAGATTAGATGATAAGATGGATACTTTGGAATTGCATATAGAAAGAAAGCAAAAGCACTCCATATTCATGTATTTTTTTCTCTTTCTTTTAATTTCCCTTGCTTAATTTTTAACAGGTCATTCACATGGTCATACAACTAATGGAGTGTAGAAATTAGACAATTTAAATACAATGATGCTTGTCATGAATCAATTTAACGCAAGCAAAAATTGTAATCAAGACTACCCTGTATGCACATAAAAATACTTAATCTAATATTATCACTTAAGGATACATTGACCTTCAGCATTGACAATAGGAATCAGCCAAAGTATACAAACATACCTATTGTTCATTCTATCTGTACTTCTCTCTCTCTCACTGTGCTTCACATCATAAGGTCAATAATACCAACCAGAACTTGTTCGTGAAAGTCATGCACTATGTTAATTTGAATGTTGATGCTGATGTTACTCATACAGCTTTAAACTTTTTAAGAAAGTATATAAGCTAAACCTATATATGTATGCTTATGCAATTAATTATACTGACATCTATTTCCTGCTTATAGCTAAAATTTCAACCAAGTCAAGATCAGTCATAAGTTTCTGATCGTATTTGAAAACAGAAGTACTAAACATAGAACCACAGGCACCCAAGAATTTCAAATAAGCACTTGTCATTTTCAGGTATATAGGCAAGCATCCCTAGCTATTATTAGATCTATTCTTCAAAAGGAAAATGCAAAACAATAATATTTTTTTCTCTCTAAAAAGCTGTGATAAGTCATACTAAGCTAACCTAAGACACTAGTTCAAAGCCATATATTTGATAGGTTAATTCTAGTTAGCAGCTCCAAAATAATACAACATCATTCTCTCAAAGTGGTAAAAGGAGGAGGTGATAAGTTACTAGATTGCTAACTGATCAGCCAAGGTACTATGAGATGAAATTACCCATCTACTTTATTTGCCATATAACCTAAAATTAAATAAGACCGAAGAAATCTGTAATGAGTATATTGTCTATGCCCTTATCACAAAATTTCTCTATTCCAGGATGTTGTTGATGTTTTCTGCTTTCTAATATTAAAGAACTGCATGTGTTCCGGTACAGTCCATTAATTACCTAAGTAAAAGATAATATACTAGAGAACTTAATTTAGTTACTCCAAAGCAATTCTTTACACTACTAACTAATTTAAGTGGAACGAGATGTATACTCGTTTTGTACAATAAAAATGAATCAAAAGTATTGACTGCAATATAACTCTGATCTGAAAGGTATTATGACAAGGCTACACGTTCCCCAATTTCAATTAGCGAGAATAGAGATATATTTGGGAATAGGTGAGTTCACTTAATTGTTTTGAGAAATATCTCAAGTTAAAATGAGGAGTAAGGGGAAGGGGAAGGAGCAAGAAGCAAGTAAGAGTAAAGGGTCGGCAAGATTCCTTAATTGCCACATGCAAATCTTTCATAAAGACGCAGGATGCTCGATAATTATCTACTTATATTAGCCACTATTAAGCATACAATCTTTAACCCACAAACCAGTTAGGCCACAAGCTTCCTAGTTCCTAAACCAACTTCTATCAAGTGACCAACCTCATCTAAGGAGTAGAGTATATTGTTGCCAGATAAAAAAAATCTAAGGTAGAACTTGACCCCATGTTTACAATTAACACTTTGCAGGGTAAGCGCCTTTATAATCGTCATGAGCTAGAATTGTACTCTACAATACATACACTAGCGTAACAAATATAAACACTAACAAAACAAATGCATGAACTTAAACAATGAATGTAAAACAACAACTTCTTACATGTTTCCGGGAGTTTCGAACCAAAAGTCTATACATTTATTCTGTTAGTGGGTACAACTACTCTCATGTCACTTAACATCGAACATGTATCATCACAAAGATAGTATTAGAAAAAAAAACAGCATCACAGAAATATGTTCATCATTTATGTTGCATGTACACAAGATCCGTTAGCACTGTACTACTACTGCTGCTTTACGCATACTGCATACCCTGATACACGTATATAAAAACGTATAACTACAAACATACGAATACGTATTCACATTTCTTATGTATCTAAAGAAATACGTAGTGGGGCAGCACCTGAGGGGCGAGCAACAAAGGCGAATTAGGACTAAGGTGCCGAGGACTCTGAGGAGGAGAATTAACCATCAAGTCAGCGGGTGGAACACTGCTGCTGACCCAGCGTGCGAGTCACGTGCACCATTCGATCTTCCCCCACCACCGTCAGAAGAACCACCATCCCCACCACCACCATTTTCTCTTCCACCAGCATTTCCCATTTCTTACTATTTTTAACTAACTCGTATGCGTATATATATATACACTGTTCTTATATGTCCATGTCTAGTTGCCGCCGAGACAATAATGGGGAAAAAGGGCTGGCAGTTTAAGCAAAAGGGTATTGAATTTGGGGTATTTACAGCGATTTAAGCTGCCACCGAAGAAGAAGACGAAGGGAAGATGGAGATGAAGGTAGAAGATAAAAAAAAAAGGGAAGGATCTGAGACGTTTAGATGGGGGAACTGAAATGTTTCCTTAAAAGGCGAAAACGGAAACAAGTCAAGTCATACCATACGGAAGACAGATGTAAATGACGTGGTAGGATCTGAGATGTCGGATTTGGATAAGAACAATATCGTAGGCTGGACAGTTCATCCTTTTCTAAAGTAATAGGGAAAATCGGTGCAGGACTAGGCGGATAAAGCAGAGACTGTGAGTATATATGACTTTGCTTGATCCAGTCGTACAAGGCACAACGACGCACATGGCGTAGCTCGCCTGTGTTGTCATTCATTTTAATAAAAAAAATTTTGACAGGCTGCCAGTCGAGAATTGTTAACACACCAATGTATCATATAAATAAATAGAATTAGATTAATAGCGCCACGGCATTAGACACTTTTTTTCTTAAATTAATAAAATACTTACAGAAAGACTATATTTGACCCCTTGTTCTGACGGGTGGTTACTGAGTACCGATTATTCAAACTCTTTAAAAATAAAAAATAAATTTAAGATTTTGAGTTGCACGATCAGGATCATGGCCAAATTAATGCAGCCTCATCTTGGTTGTAAATTGCATGGTGCAACTACAGAATTCCTAATCCGGTTTGGCTTTAGTGAAGATAACGACTAGATTTGGCTGCGATAGACGAGATCGGGCATGTAGGTGTACTGATTGGTAAGAATGACAATTTCTAACACGACACGAAAAGAATTAAGCAAAACACGATGCAAAATGGTTTATATTAAAAATGGATTGATATGAGAACGTGCATTGGATAGTATTGGATTAATTTGCGAGTCGATATTTGATTGAAAAAATGCAACTCGATTCTCTCCTTATACTACACTAAAATATATTATAAAAATAATAAAGTAAACTACTATAATAGTAATTAAATATTAGAGAAGAAAATAGAGAAATAGAGAATGATACTCTTATTGTTCCAACTAATACCAAAAGTACAACTAAGAGGTATCAAGGTACTCTATATATATAGGTACTACAAAATTAAAGGTACATCAATTCTATTAAACACTCATTACTACAAAACATGAATAGTGTATGAAATGGTTCTTCCAATACATGAATGGGTTTATGATTGAAACCGTTCATCCAATGTAATTTCTTTACATAATGTAGCAATGAATTATGAATTGATCTCTTGGAATCAATGAATTATGAATTAATCCTCTTGAGAATACAAATGGACATCATACTTTTAATTATTTCATAACACTCCCCTTGAATGTCCATTATATAAAAATATGTCTCGTTAAAACCTTACTAGGAAAAAATCCATCGGACAAAAATCTTAGTGAAGGAAAAAGAGTACACTATTCCTGCGTATTAATTTCTCCCCTGATGCAAACATCATTTGAGATCTTTAATTTTAATATTCTTCACCAATTTCTCAAATGTTGCAGTCGGCAATGCTTTGGTAAATAAATCTGTCAAATTATTATCTGATTAGATTTGTTGCACATCAATTTCACCATTCTTTTGCAAATCATGAGTAAAAAGAATTTTGGTGAAATATGTTTCGTCCTATCTTCTTTAATATATTTTTCTTTCAATTGAGCTGTACAAACTGCATTATCTTCATATAATATAGTTAGAGAATTTTCTTTTTCGGAGATAACCCATAATTCTTTCGAATATAGTGGATCATTAATTTAACCAAACATATTCTCGACTAGCTCATGAATTGTTATTATTTCAGCATGATTCGATGAAGTGGCAGTTAATGATTGCTTAGTAGATCGCCAAGAAATGGCTGTACCTCCATATGTAAATAGATAATCAGTCTGAAATCTTGCTTTATGCGGATCAGATAAACATTCAGCATCAGCATAACAAAAAATTCAGGTTCGGATTTATTTTAATAAAATAAATCAAGATTAATTATTCTTGGAGATAAGAAAAATATGTTTAATACCATTTCAATATCGTCTTGTTGGCGAGAAACTAAATCTTGCTAATAAATTCAATGCAAATGATATATCAGGTCTTGTACAATTAGCAAAATATATTAGTGCACCAATTGCACTGAAATATGGTTTTCAGGATCAAGTATCTCTTCATCTTTCTCTTGAGGTTTAAAAGATCCTTATTAGGATCTAATGATCTGACGATCAATGGGATACTTAATGTATGTGTCTTATCTATATAAACTGCTTTAATACCTTCCGGGTACAAGCAGTTTGGTGGATAAAAATTCTGCTTTTCAAATACTCAATTTGTAAATCAAGGCAGAATATTGTTTCTCCAAAATCTTTGATTTCAAATTTCTTCTTTAAATATTCAACACTGTTTTGAATCTCTTCAGGAGTTCCAACAAATTTAGATCATCAACATATACAACAATTATTACAAATTTTGATCCATTTTTTAGATAAAAACACATAGATATATTGGATCATTTGTATAACAATTTTAGTTAAACATTCATTAAGTCGGTTATACCACATACATCCAAATTGTTTGAATCCATACAAAGACCTTTGTAATTTAATAGAATAAATATTTTTAGAATTTGATTTGCATACTTCAGTTATGTTGAATCTTTCGGAGATTCTCATATAAATATCATTTTTAAGATTTTTTTTATAAATATGCAGTAACGACGTCCATTAGACGCATATCTAGTTTTTCATGTATTGCAAAACTCATAAGATATCTAAATGTGATAGCATCCACTATAGGTGAATACGTTTCAACATAATCAAATCTAGACTTTTGTGAAAATTCTTAAACTACAAGTCTTGCTTGATACTTCACAGTTTCATTTTTCTCATTTCTTTTTCTCTCAAATACCCATTTAACATATTGGCTTTACACCTCCAGGTGTTTGGACTACAAGTCCAAAAATTTTTCTTTTAATCAATAAATTCAATTCAGATTAGATCGCATCTTTTCATTTTGGCCAATCATTTTTATACCGACATTCATCAACCGATCTAGATTCATGATCCTAATCAACTTCTATAATATCAAGTGCTACATTTCATTAGACTCCAATTAAATTTTCTATGATTTCATCATCTTTAGGAATTGGCTCTTCAGGAGCGATCTCTTTAAAAGATTGAATTTTGTCATGAAATTTATTTAATTTTGGAGATATTTGAAATCAATTTTTACCTTATTTAAGTAGGCCAGCCTTAAATTTATTTGTAGCACTTGTGCATGCCCTTTAGGGACATCAACTTTAACCAGAATATTTTCTGTAGGAATAGTTGATTTAATGACTCTTCTGGAATCAATAAATATATCTGACAATTGATTTGTAACTTTTTGTTAGTTCTCTATTTCTCTATTTATCGATACCATAAGAGAAATGGAGAACTAGAGAACTAATAAAAAGTTGTAAATCAATTGTCAGATATATTTATCGACTCTAGAAGAGTCATTAAATTAACTATTTCTGCAAAAAATACTCTGGTTAAAATTGATGTCTCTGAAGAACATGCACAAGTGCTACAAATAAATTTAAAATCGACCTACCTAACTAAGGAAGAAATTGATTTCAAATATTTCTAGAGATTAAATAAATGTTATGACAAAATTCAATCTCTTGAAAGGTCGATTCTAAAGAGCCAACTTCTGAAGAGAATGAAATCATAGAAAATTTAATTGGAATCTAATGAAATATAGTATTTGATATTATAGAAGTTGATGAGAATCATGAATCAAGATCGATTGATGAATGTCGGTATAGAAATGATTGGCCAAAATAAAAATATGCGATCTAATCTGAATTGGATTTGTTGGTTAAAAGAAAAGTTTTTAGACTTGTAGTCCAAATACCTGAAGGTGTAAAGTCAGTAGGTTAAATGGGTATTTGTAAGGAAAAGAAATGAGAAAAATGAAATTGTAAGGTATAAAGCAAGACTTGTAACTCAAGAATTTTTACAAAGATCTGGATTTGATTATGATGAAACGTATTCACCTATAGTAGATGCTATCACATTTAAATATCTTGTGAGTTTTGCAGTACATGAAAAACTAGATATGCGTCTAATGGACGTCATTACTGCATATTTATAAGAAAATCTTAAAAATGATATTTATATGAGAATTCCCGAAGAATTCAACATGCCTGAAGAATGCAAATTAAATTCTAAAAGTATTTATTCTATTAAATTATAAAGGTTTTTGTATGGATTTAAACAATCTGGATGTATGTGGTATAATCGCTTTAATGAATGTTTAACTAAAAAAAGTTATACAAATGATCCAATATGTCCATGTGTTTTTATCAAAAAAAAAAAGAATCAAATTTTGTGATAATTGTTGTATATGTTGATGATCTAAATCTGATTGAAACTCCTGAAGAGATTCAAAATAGTGTTAATATTTAAAGAAGGAATTTGAGATCAAAAATTTTGGAGAAATAAAATTCTGCCTTGATTTATAAATTGAGCATTTGAAAAGCGAAATTTTTGTCCACCAAACTGCTTATACCCGAAAGATATTAAAATAATTTTATATAGATAAGGTACATACATTAAGTATCTCAATGGTCGTTAGATCATTAGATTCTAATAAGGATCATTTTAGACCGCGAGAGGAAAATGAAGAGATGCTTGGTGCTGGAGTACTATATCTCAGTGCAATTGATGTACTAATGTATCTTGCTAATTGTACAAGATCTGATGTATCATTTACAGTGAATTTATTAGCAAAATTTAGTTCCTCGCCCACAAAATGACATTGAAATGACATTAAACATATTTTTCACTATCTCCAAAGAATAATTAATCTTGATTTATTTTATTCAAATAAATTC